ACAACATCTTAAGTAGAGATACTAACAGGGGAATGATGGAGTGTGTGTGTGTGTATGGAGGGAGTGTAATTTCTGCTGTGAGAGCTCAGCCTCAGTAATTTAGAGTTTGACTGTGTAGAAAATCAACAACAAATGAAAGTGTTGTTATAGACAAAGAAATATTTAAGTAGCAACCCAGGGAGAATAAAAACCCAACTTAATATATTTAGGCGAATAATCCATTCATATGAAAATATTCCAGGGAAAAGAAGTTCTCAGAGTATACTGGAAACAATTTTCTGATACAGGAAGGAGTGTGGAATTTCTTATTTAATATTTCTAAATATTACTACTTCTGATTCTCCTCCAAATTGTCAGACTGCTCCTTACCAGTTTCCTTTGCTTGCTCTTCATGCAGGTTATGCCCATTAACCATGGGTGTTCCCTAAGATTTATGCTGAGCTCTCTTCTCTCTATATACTGTCTTGTTTGGTGATCTCATTATCTGCTGTGGGTTCAATTATTATCATTATACTCCCTTATGCTATTTATACTAGATAAATAGCTCTGTTAGAGCTAGAGCTATTTATCTCACTATAACCTCTCTCTCAAAATCCATGCTCATATCATGCGCACATACATAAGTGTGGGTATACATACATACACACTGAGAGAGAGAGAGAGAGAGAGAGAGAGAGAGAGAGAGAGAGAGAGATATTTCAAACTCAACATACTCAAAACAAATCATTATCTTTCTCCTCAAACCCTTCCTTCTCCTAAACCTGCCTATTACCATTAAGGGCACAACCATACTCTAAGTCACCCTGACTTGGAGCTGGGATGGAGTTCTGTGTGGAACAGCAACCAGGAGGCCTGTGTCACTGTACCACGGATATGTGGAGGGAAGAAAGGTGTAAGCCTAGAAAGTAGGAAGGTCCAGGTTATAAAGGGCTTATAAGAGTCAGAGGATTTTACATTTGATCCAGAGGTGATAAGACCCACTGGGATTTACCGAATGGGGTGGGGGAAAGGGTGACATGGTCACACCTGTTCTTTATGGGGTTACCTGGGTCAGAAGGTTACCTGGCCTGGACATACCCAGTTGTCTGTGGCACTGAGAAGTTCCTCTTCTCCACTCACCTTAAACTGAGGACCATACTCTCCTGCAGGGTCTGATCCCTCAATTCCCTCCCCTCATCGCCTCTCCTGTCTCACCTCCTAATCCCATAATTGTGGCTGAGATGGTATAGAGTTTAGAATTTTTCTCCTCTAGTATACCAGTGATAGGTTATATAGTATAGTGAGTTGAAAACACTGTCTCTGTGACTGTGGTTTAACTTCTCAATGACCTAGATAACTTTCTAAACCTATAAATTACAGAGCAGGGGCCAGTCTGCATTGGAAGCAGAATTTTCTTCACTGGGAGTTTCTTAAGCCGCTGAAATCATAGGCCAGGTCCAAATGTGAGGCATGCCAATAAACATATTTTTAGAAAAAAAAGCTAGTAATATCATTATCAATTAATAACTGACATTATGATGAGAGATGTGGCAGCCCCTTAAGAAAAAAGACTTTTATGTTTCATCTTTGTATCCACAAAGCCTGGCACATTAATAAATGCTGGTGATTGATGGTCAGGAAATTAGTTCAGTTCTGTGTCTCATGAAATAGAAATAGTCTCTTATTACTTACAAAGCATCAATGGTACCCATAAAAAGGATGCAAGTATCCATATACCAAAAGGTTCCACCAGCTGCCCCATTCTTCATTATCTAGTCTGGTTCCTGAAAGGCAAATTAGGGCACATGATTCAGGAAACCCTAGCCCTATACAGAATATAGTCCAAGGGGTTGAGAGGCACTGTTTTACCTTCAGAAGGGCAGAAGGGGCTGGAGTTCTTTTCAGATGCATTGGCAGACCTCAGGCACATTTTAAATACACTAAACGAGTCTGCTGGATAACGTATGCACAGAGATTGTTAGAGTTTATTTGGTGTAATCGTGAAGACTAAGTCTTTCAAGCATTTTAACCAGAGTCAGAATTCGGATGGGACAATTTCAGAGGTGCCAATAGTGTTTGCCATTCTTCTGCAGGTAGAAATAAGTTCTTATGCCTTGTTCTGCCTTTCTCTTCATCATCCAGTGGATTCCCTCATTTGGCACACGATAATCAATAAGTACTTGTCAAGTCCATTCATCCGATGAGCCAGACATACAAGGAATACAAGGACATAAATGAATCAATCCCTTCCCTCAGGGAGCTTACCCTCTAGCAGTAGAGATATGAAGACATGGAAGTATATGCGTAGTATGGACAAAATAAATGTAAGGTAATTTGGGGGGGAGGGGTTGTAGTATTGAGATGGTTTTAAAGTGGGAAGGGGACTAGGGAAGGTCTCATGTGAGAGGTGGTATTTGAGCCAAATTTTGAAGTAAACCAGGGAGGACCAATTTCTTTCTTACAATGACTCAGTGTAGCAAAAAAGAGTAGCTTAGATATTGCTTCATTCCCAAGATTAAATTGTCAGTTTTATCTTTTATGATCCTCTCTGTCCCTTGGTCAGACATCAGTCAAAGACACTAAAGTCATCCATTGCATCCAGGGCCACTGCTGATTTTCTTGACTTTTGTCTGCCATTGGACTTCAATGACTCTAGAAGACAGAGTGAGGCTGACAACTTTGTGCAACTCTACCTCATTTAAATCTAATTCACAAGCAATTCAAGGCACCATCCCACGATGCCACTGGTCCTCTTCAAAAATGGAGTATGGGGGGCAGCTAGGTGGTGCAGTGGATAGAGCACTAGCCTTGGATTCAGGAGGACCCGAGTTCAAATCCGGCCTCAGACACCTAACACTTACTAGTTGTGTGACCCTGGGCAAGTTACTTAACCCCATTGCCTAGCCAAAAAAAGAAAAAAAAAGAAATATGAATAACAAGACTCAGTAGTATAGTACTGCACCCCAAGTAGGGACTGAGTCCAGGCCATAAATCATAGGTAAGAGGATCTGAGATATAGTCAATCTTTCCTTCCCCAGGAGACACCAGCACTCAACCTTAGACTGGAACTCCCATCTCCCACCATGTCTGTGCCAACTTTATTCAGAGAATCTTTTTTCCCCTAGAAAGATGGATAATCAAGATATCACTAATCTAACCTGACCTTAGCATAAGTCTTGATTTTGTCTTTCACTGTAACTTATTCATCAGCAAACTTGAAGAATGTGGTTTAGACCCAAAGAGTAATCACTGATGAATCAGTGTTAAGCTTGGACAAGAGCTGGTTTGGGGCTCAGGGTTATTTTACATTTTCATCAGTAATTTGTAGGATGGAATGGAGAACTTGCTCATTAATTTTACAGATGACACAAAAATGGGGAAAGCCTTCAGCATGTTGAAAAATAGGACCCAAGTTAAACACAACCTTAAGTTGAAGGTGTCTAAAGCTAATAAGGAGGCAGTATGATTTGGTGGGACGAACAGAGGAAAGCTATAACCTTTCTAAGCCTTGGATGCTTCCTCAGTGAACAAGAGGACTGGACTAATTGAACTTTAAGGTCACTTTTAGATATAAAATTCTAAATAGTATATAAGGACCAAACCTGTGATTTCATCGGTATAGGGAACTTCCAGGTGAGATAATTCCCTCCACTAGTGCAGACAGCCACTTTCTCTGCAATGTTTCCTAGATTGCCAAGAGGTTACGTGACTTGCCCAGGGTCACACAGTCAGCATGTGTCAGAAGCAGGACTTGAACCCAATTCTTTTTGACTTTTAGGTCAGCTAGCCACCTACTTTTGCAACGCTGCCTCTCTGTAGCTAACAGTGTGCATGAAGAGGGAAAGCAAGCATAATATTAGCAAAGCTTGAAGACTTAGAGGTTATAAGCTAACCACCAGATAATTATGCAATCCTTCAGTTAAAAAGAAAAAATGAAGGAACGTGCAAGGGGGAAGAGGGAGGGAGTGCTATTGCCTTAGGCCTAATGGGCCCCAATGCTATTTGTAAGCACTTAGCCAGCAAGCATGGGGAAGGAGCAGCTTGGTGTCCTTCCTGTGCCATCCTGGGATCTAGAGCTGGAAGCTTTTTACACATCTGCTTGTTCAGGAGTTCTTCACCTTTTTTGATGTCTATGTCATGTACTCCTTTGGCAGTCTGGGGAAGACTATGGACTGCCCTCAGAATCATGTTTTAAATGCATAAAATAAAAGGCATGGGATTGCAAAGGAAAATGGAGGTTAATGAAAATAAAGATGTAATTATTTTCTAATCTAAGTTCAGAGACCCACTGAAATCTTTCTACAGATTCCAGGTTAAGCACCTCTTGCCTAGTCTAACTCTTTATTTTACATATGAGGAAATCAAGTCCCAGAGAACTGCCCAAGGACACACAGGTGAGTGACAGAATTTTAATTTGGGCTCATATTTTCTGACTCCAAATCCAGCGCTTTCCCTCCCCCTCTCTGCTTCCTCCTCTCTCTGTCTCACTTACTTCTCCCTCCTTCTTTCTCCCCTTCCTTTCCTCTCCTCCTCTCTTCTTTCCCTCTCTCCTTCAACCTCTCTTTCCCTCTCCCTGTCTTCTTCTCTTTCCCCTTCCCCTTCTCTCTGTCTCACTTCCTCTCCTTCTCTCCCTCCCTTTCTGTTTCCTTCTCCCCTTCCCTCTTTCTTAACAGAAATTCCCTAAAAAGCATTAGAGCACACTCAGAGCTGAGACCTAGACCCTAGTCTAAGGAGAGCATTTAGGCTGGGAGGGCTAATCTGTGCATGATATTCAGTATCAGTCTGGCCTATTTCTAGACCACACAAGGAAAGAGGGTGTATTTAGAGGACAGCCACAAACATTTGGGAAAACAGAGAGCTATAAAGAAAAAATGAAGGAACCAAGATCTTTGAGTGAAATGGAAAGGTCCAAAGCCTATGAAGGGTTCTTAAAACCAAGAATGGTAATCCTAGAGCCCAGGGAGTCAGCTTTAAACTTCCATAGAAGGGATTCAGGTGAGTTAGATGTTAAGTTTGGGTGGTGAAGTCTGTTCAGTATCAGATTACTTCAGGAGGTTAGAAATCTCTTTAAAAATAGGATAGTTTCCCATGTGTGAGGCGGTCGGTTTAAATGTCATCTGAGTTCCTTGCAACCCTGCCATCCTCTGATTCTCTACAGAAATGACAGAGGGCAGCAGGCGGGAACTCCGTGGAAGTCTGAAGATCTTTCTCAGAGCAGACGATTAAGGCCACAGTTGTGCATTTGGCAGAGTGTGGTGTCTGTCCTCATCCTCCTCTGGGTTTCTCAGTGGAAATGCAGTGGCCCGAAAGGAGGTCAGAGAGGACCTGGGAACAGAATGGCAGAGAAAATACTAAGGCAATTTCAAGATAAGGAACAAAAGGGTAAGTTAGGTACAAGGTCAAATGTGTGGAAATAGAGTGGGAAGAAGAAAGCCATGTGCGTGTCCAAGTTATCTTGCAACATGCCACAAGAGGCAAAGGGCAAAGAGAGCTTTTCCTTGTCTCCCGTGCAGAGTATGGGAAGCAGGTGGAGCTCTGGAAATAGGAGGAAGCTCTGTTATTGCATCTAGCTCTGACTTGACCCTAGCTTTTCTAGAGCTTTTCCTAGTAAGCAGAGTTTGAGGACCTTACAGGAATGAAAGTAATACTGCATATTTGCATAGGACTTAATTGATTTTCAAAGAATTAAGTACACTATGTTATATGATCCTAAGGGGTTTTCTACTAAAAGGGAATTTATGTTACAGATGTGTAGCTATAATACAAATGTCAAGGCTGGCAGTTAGACTCAGATCGATCTTGGGGATTGTTTTTTTTTTTTTTGCAATCGGAGTTAAGTGACTTGCCCAGGGTCACACAGCTAGTATGTGTCAAGTGTCTGAGGTCGGATTTGAACTCAGGTCCTCCTTACTCCAAGGCCAGAGTTCTATCCACTGTGCCACCTACCTGCCCCGAGCTTGGGGATTCTTTGTGGTATAGTAGAAAGACTGCCAGATTTGGAGTCAGAAGCCTTGAGTTCAAATCCTAGCTCTCCAGTGATATCTGAATTATTTGGGAAAAGCAATAATTTTAATATGGTTTCATTTTGTGACAGCAAGGGTTATACATGTGCGCTTCTGCTAACACTAGGCTGACTCAGAACATATGACTCTGACTAGGAGAAACCAGATTGAGCTATCCCATTTTTACTTAGTTCTTTCTCACTTGAGTGCTAGATTTCATTCCATACACACATCCCATCGCTTTTGTTCACTGTCTTTAATTCTGTGGTATTGAAGAATGGATATTACTCCCCACAGAAGGTACAAAAGTTGGAGCTCTTAAAGAGCACACTTCAATGACTGTTAGAGATATGCCAGTGACTTTTGGTTTGGGGAAATCAAGACCATAGTGAAACAGGATCTGTCACATTGAAGCAAGCTTAAAGGGAAGAATTACTGAAAATGACAAAAAAAAAGACCTAATGAACAATTGATCCAAAAAATGCCTAATTAATCCTCAGAAGATAAGCCAAGACCTTTAGTGGGACTTGACAGCTGTAGGAGTTGTTATTAATTCCTTTACAATGGGTAGGTTTCTTGGAGTTGGAAAAACAGCAGACAACTGCTAACTATTCCTTCGAAGGAAAAATGCTTGTTATGGACAAGAAACCACAAATATTGGAATACTGAAGATTGATGAAAGGTCACTTTTACTAATGAATTTCAGTCTTTCATTAAAGGTTATACCAAAACCCTTATTGGAAGAAGTTGGGGGATACCTGTAAGACAGGGGCATTTTCATCAGACTACAAAACATCCACCACACAAAAAAAATTTAGGGATTTTTTTTAATCTTCTAGTGGACTTAGACATCCTGTTCCTATTGAGTCAATGATGAATTCTAATAAATATATTGATATGACAAGAAGAGAAATTGTTCTAGGAGGCACAGTAAATAGAGCACTGGACCTGGAGTCAGGAAGACCCAAGTTTAAATAACACCTGAGTTCAAATCTGGCCTCAGACACAAACTTGCTGTGACTCTGGGTAAGTCATTTAATCTCTGTCTGCCTCAGTTTTCTGATCTGTAAAATGGGGAAAATAACAGCACCTACCTCCCACAGTTGTGACAAACTATTTGTAAAGCATTTTGCAAACTTTTGAGCACTATGTAAAGGCTAGTTAATACATTGTTATTATTATTATCATTATTAAAATTCTGAAAGGGAGATGGAATATTGTAACATGATCTTACACCCTCACACACTTCACAAAAGGCTAAGATATTTATCCAAGAGATAGAGACAAGCATCCTTCAGTGGTCTGGGAACTCACCCGATTTAAATCCCATTGACATATCATTCTTTAAATGCCATTGCTTAATCTCCAATGTGACATATGATATCATAATGAAGAATTTAAAAATGTGTCAAAATCTTGTGAACTCAATTCCAAGTAACCACCAAACACGTGGTTGAGGCAAAAGCAAAGAGAAGGGAATAAGCATTAGTTAAATGCTTATTATATGCCAGGCACTGTACTATGCACTTTACAAATATCATCTCATTTAATACTTACAACAATCCTGGAGGAAGGTACTGTTATTACTCCCATTTTACAGTTTAGGAAACTGATGAAGGTAGTTAAATGACTCACCCAGGGTTACACAAGTAGTTTTGGAGGCTACATTTGAACTTAGGTGGAATACAACTCATAATACTAATAGGGGAAGTCTCTGTTGGCTGGGTAGATTTTGATGGAGACTTTCAATGAGTACATTGTTTATCTCCCATCGTGTGTCCTTCTTCCTCTTCAGCCTGAGCCCTTGTCTCTGCCTTCCATGTTCAATGACTGCATTCACCTCCTTTCTAGTCTATCCTTCCCCACCACTGTTGTAATCTGTGCTGTTTCCACTCATTGTCATCATAGCACCTGTGTCTCTCAGCACCTGGCAGACCTTCTTCCTTTCCTCCAGTCACCTCTTTGGGGCCCGTGGCATCATGGGAAAGTGAGTCCTTGCTGTCTTCCATCAAGGCTCATGTGTTGGGTCCATAACAGGTGTGTCCTTTCTCTAGTGGGCATGCCAGCTACACAATTCTTCCTTCTTGCACTCTCATGTTGTGTTTACCTAACACATACTACTTATTTGCACAGATGAAAACCTTTTGATTCTCATAACAACCTTGATAGACATAGATGAAAGCTATCTATCCCCGTTTGACAAATGAGGAGAGGAGGCCTATGGAGAGAAATGCTGTATCCAAAGCCATGCAACTCTCCAGTGCCAGAGTTATGAATAAAATCCAGGTCTCTTGCTTCCTAATCCAGTTCTTTGATGGATGTAAGGTTATAGTAGGAAGGGCATTAGCAGCCAGAATAGTGTTGCTAAATCATGTCCAACTCTTTGTGACCCTGTGGACCACATTGCAGCAGTAGTGGGGTGCTTTAGCAGCCAGGATACCTGGTTTCAAGTTCTGTATTTGTCATTTAGAATCACAGAGTCTTACAGACTAGAAGGGACCACAGAGGTCATCTAATCCAGTCTATATTGGAGGAGAAAACTAGCCTAGAACATCCTTGACAAATTGTCATCTAGCCTTTGCTTGAAGACTTCTAGTGACAGGAAAAGTCCCCACCTCTCCATCAAGCTGATTTTGGCTGCTCATGTTATTAGGAATATGTGTGTCTGTCTATGTGTTTTAAATTAATTTAATTTTATTTTTTTGGTGAGGCAATTGGGGTTAAGTGACTTGCCCAGAGTCACACAGCTAGTGAGTGTTATGTGTCTGAGGCCAGATTTGAACTCAGGTCTTCCTGACTCCAGGGCCGGTGTTCTATCCACTGAGCCACCTAGCTGCCCCTAAAAATAAGCTGAAATCTTTGCAACTTTCACCCACTGCTCCTACTTCTCTCTGGTGCCAAACAAAGTCCAGTTCCTTTTCCACATGATTGGTTAGCTCAGGGCCCAACACAGGAAAGCCTGAAGCAGGACCCTGCCCATGACCAATATTGGGACATCTCTGCCAAGGGGAGAACGAGAATGCATATAGCTGCAGTAGAAAGCCTGAAGCTTTGGGAATTCAATTGAGTCAGACCAATGGTTCGTGCCAGGCAGGCCTCAATACATTTCGTTCTCTTTGGTTAGTACACACCTTCTCTCCCCAAATCCCTGTTACAAAGGCCATTAAGATCCCCGCTTGCTTCAGCTCCTCAGTGCATACTGTTTCACAAGTCTGCTAGTACCAACCCAAGCTGGCTTTTTAATTTCTACTTGGTCACCTCTCCTCCTAGGCCCCAAGGCTGCTTAGGCTCTTCCACTCTACCTTGCCACATACCGCTCAGGGATTTGTCTATCATTTGCATATGATAATGAAAATATTTCAAATACTTATAAACAGACTCAGGTTTTCTTTTTTTGTTTTTTTTGTTAACTAGCCTCAGTCCCTTACTCATTTACTTTACTAGCTGTGCGGCACTGTCAAATCACTTAACCTCTTTGCATTTATTTCCTTGTTTATATAATACAGATAATACTACCTGACCTGACTACCTTAGGGGACCATCATAGGACCACAATTGAGGAAACTGAGGCACAGAGCACTTGAATGACTTGCCCAAAGCCACATAGCTAGTAAGAATCTGAGGCAGGATTAGAACTCAGGTTTTACCTGACTCCAAGTCCAGTGCCCTGTCTACAGGAAAAGAAAATGAGATGACATAGGTGGCAAACCTATGTAATGTCATATAATATAATCTCATATACATATAAATGTAAGTGATTATGATTTTTTCCCTCTATGCTATGCTGCCTCACATTTAGTGATACATACATGCATGAGGAGAGAGCATTGCTCCACTGTTCACTGCTAAACTGCCCTGTTGTGGTTCTCAGTTTGAATGGGGTAATTTTGCCTTCAGTACATTACTCTCAGTAGCATCCTCAGTGGTTCCTTTGGTTCTCCCTTCTTCTGAAGGAACTGCTGGGGATAGTCCCCTTCTGGGGTACTCACTTGTATTAAAAGCTGTTGGGCCTACCTTTCTTTCTCCCTATTTAGCTGAGACAAAGCTGGTTTTTGAGGGTCCTGTTGCTTTCCTTTTACCAGAAAGGGAATTTGCCTGAGAGAGGTACTGTTCTCATCGACCTCTGTTTATTGGGTAACTTTGGGCTATCATTCATTTCTGTTTGTGCTTTTGAAAAATAAAACTTTGCTAGGCCTGGGAAAGATGACAGCCTCTACTTCACGTTCCCCTAATCTCTACCTTGGTATTGCTTTAAAATAAAAAGCTGAACACTTGTCTAATGTTATTATGTTCTTGAGAAACCCAGGATTGTGGTAAATTAGG